CAAACCCAAACCCAAACCCAAACCCAAACCCAAACCCAAACCCAAACCCGGACCCAAACCCAAACCCAAACCCAAACCCAAACCCAAACCCAAACCCAAACCCAAACCCAAACCCAACCCAAACCCAAACCCAAACCCAAACCCAAACCCAAACCCAAACCCAAACCCAAACCCAAACCCAAACCCAAACCCAAACCCAAACCCAAACCCAAACCCAAACCCAAACCCAAACCCAAACCCAAACCCAAACCCAAACCCAAACCCAAACCCAAACCCAAACCCAAACCCAAACCCAAACCCAAACCCAAACCCAAACCCAAACCCAAACCCAAACCCAAACCCAAACCCAAACCCAAACCCAAACCCAAACCCAAACCCAAACCCAAACCCAAACCCAAACCCAAACCCAAACCCAAACCCAAACCCAAACCCACGACTAAGGTCAGACCCAACATTTTGACTTTTATTCATCTTAATTAATTATCTCAATAAATACTCATTATAAATCAATATATTATATATCAATATACTCCAAATTGAATATATAATCATAATATAACATAATATTACATCGTTATAATGACTTATTTAAGTTAATTTCATATAATAGATTAGACAATTTTAATATCAATGAAAACATTTCAAAATCAATTCAAATCAATATATCACATTATAAATCATGTTTATAACAATACATATCAATTTCAAATACTTTGGTATCATTTCAGGATATTTACTATTCAACTTGTCAACGGACCCATTCTAACATTGAAGATAGAAATCTGTTCCACTTCAATTCACTTCCAATACATCTGTACATGATAATTAAATACATTAATATCATTTTGACATTCATCCATATCATACATGGTACATGGCTGATCCACTTGATACCTACAGGGTTGTGACAATGACATCTACTATACAGATCATCATGAAATTGATACAGCACCTTACCAATGATGAATAAACACCACTGTATCAGTTTCATGACAATTTGAAATCATTCAACATGTCAGGAGTGTAATCATGAGAATAATGAATGTCAAGATAATGAAATCATATTAATTTTTAAATCTTTCAATTATAATATC